GATCATTGCCTTTAATGCCAGCATGTCCAGGCACCCAGCAGTACGCAACAGAATAACCTGTGTTTCTCAAAAGGAGACATGCCTTTAAAATTTCGAAGACCAAAGGGTGGCTAGTATTTTTATTTATTGATTCAAGAAAACTCAGAGAGTCAGAGTAAATGATGAACTTTCTGCTATTCTGCTTAGAGATAAAGATTAAGGAATTCAAAATGGCAACAGTTTCTGCAGTAAAGGCAGATGTAGCCTTATGAAGTTTACTGCTCTTGATTTCTCTGTCACAAACAAAAGCTGCCCCAACATGATCATGATTCTTTGAGCGATCAGTAAAATTTACTTGTAAAGTTACTTAAATTGTTGTAAAGCGGTCGGCGGTGAAGAAAAGCTGGATTTAGATCCAAATTCAGAGTGAGAAGCAAACCTTGGACGGAGGTCTTCAGCAGAGTTGGACGCTGAAGAAGAAGCTAAAGCCAATACTTCAGATTGATGAGAAAGGATTTCCCTATGTTTTCCTGCGATTTCATCACCAGCTGACGGCAGCTTTGGCTGTCTTCCTAATCCTAACCGCTCAAACGATACTCTCGGGTGTTCTCTCTGTAAAGTCCCTTTTCACTTGGAGGCAGATCCCGAAGAGCAGGAAACTGTTTGCTGATAATACCAGCATTTCCCCCCTTTTTTTTTACCTAAATTGGCAAAATGATACTAAATATTACTCGTTCTTCCGAGCCGTAGGGACGAAATTTTGTTCTGCAGTCTTGAAAAAATAAAACATATTAGATGGAAAAATTTATATTTATAAATATATACTTATACTAAAGAAGATTAAGGAGAAATTCACAGCTCTTCGCTACAAGACGTTAGTAAAATAATTAAATAAATAAAAATATAATTTATTACTTTACATAAATGTTATAATAATATTGCATAAAAAGGTTATACTTATGATACAGCATTCAAAGAATCGAAGCGAAATTCAAAGGAAGAGCTCTGAAACCACAAACTGAAGACGCAGACGAAGAGCTGATAGTCAGAAGAGCAAATATTCAAGAGGAGCGAGATCTGGACTAGAGAAGGAAACCTGGAGCAATGAGTCCTAGGAAACTAAGTAGCTACTCAACTGAGTCCATTCCAGTCACAGAGACAGGTCTCAGAGAGACAGAAAAAAAAAAAAAAAAATTCCAAGTATAGGAATAAACCTGTACACTTGAAGTGTTGAATGACATCCATGTGGCAGTATGTAACAGTGGCAATACTTTGATAAAATAGCGATTAACATCTGAAGCATACTTTCATATCGTAAAGAAATTTAACACATCTGTAGCATAAAAATTTTGGCATAACTTTTCTCCTCGTAGGTACTACGGCTGAGTGTCCTCCTTCCTCCGTGTCTTGAGCAACGGAATAACGGGGGCATAATAGTTGAGGCATATAACAGTATGGGCGGAGCATAGTTCACTGACCAAACGTTAAGTTTTTATACACGTAAGACAAATCAAGTCTGCCTCCGGGGGCGCAAAGTCCATATAGCTTGCAATAATTAAGCAATAATTAACTAAATATAAATACAGTAAACAATGAAAAGTAGAAAAATTAAATTCACTATGTACTCGATCACCATAACTCGTTATGGTGTATCGTTCTTGGTCTTTTCAGCGTGAGACTGTTAGTCTATCTCCTATGCTACTACGCTTCATTTCCGGATATCACATTGGTGTAGAATTAGTGAGGCATAGATCTCCATCCATGGTGATTTCAATTCATGACGCATGTTCTTACAACACTACTTAGTCTAGAATTATTTTAATCTTGCATCACGATTTTCTGTTAGCGGCCTGGGAGTTTGAACAATTATGTACAGCCAAACGCCAAATGTTTACGGAAAAGTGTACTTTGCTGTGATTGGTTGGAGGGTTATCTTTTTCACGCCAAACTGGACCTGGCGCCAAATACGTAAATCTAGTAAAAATAGAAATCGTATTCCGCCATTTTCGTCGGTGAGTGTTTTTTCTGCACGTGCTAATTCTTAATTTGATTTTGTTATTTGTATTATTTTTATTATGTCTTTGTCTAAGCAAACAGGAAAAATGAAAATACTTATAATCGGAGATTCGATGATAAAATATTTAAAAGAATATTTATTGCTGAATTTACTGGATTATGAAGTTCATTTTCATTGTTTTCCGGGTGCTACGATTGAAAGGTTGACACGCAAGATAACCTTGATAGACAATCAATTTGAGTTAGTTTTGGTTCACGTTGGTACCAATAACTCTTGTGACACTTTGGATGATATTCATCATAAATATGATTGTCTGTATAAGGTTATTGAGCGTTTAAACCCGAAGATCATTCTCTTTTCAGGTGTCCTCCCGCGTGAACGAAATTTATTCGAGAATGGTTTCAACCCGTACAGTTTAAAGAAGCTGAACAGAAAATTAGCTCGGATAAACACTAATCTTTTCGAAGCATTCAAAGGCCGAGAAGCTTTTTTCCTTTTGCAGATCTGGTGAGTACTATTGGAGTACTTGTCTGTCAAGAGACGGATTGCATCTGAACCGTAAGGGTAATGCACAGCTTGGGAGAATTTTTGTGAAGGACATAAAGAGCGTTTTGAAGTGTGAAATCCCTTCCAAAGGTAAGTGCTACATCTTTTTCCTCTGTATCTGCTATTGAGTTTCCAGCTTTATCCACTGTTTCAGGAAAACATCCTTCTGTACCTATCACGATTTTGGATAATTATCCTCGTGCTTCTGTCATTTCAGATACTTCAAGTACTCACTCTAAACCTCTTTATTCAAGTGTTTTGAAACGGGTTTCTTCTGTTTGCAGCACTTTGGATAGTCATCCTGATACTTTAGGCTTATCAGATTCTAGTGTTTCAGTTTTGTGTGCTCCTTCAAGTGTTCCTTCGAAACCACTTTATTCAAGTGTTTTGAAACTTTCGCATGTCTGTACTACATTGGATAGTCGCCCTAATGCTTTAGCATTACCAGGTGTTTTGACTGATTTGGATAACCATCCCAGTATTTCAGTATTGTTGGATTCTCCTGATGTTCTTTCTAAACCTCTTTATTCAGATGTTTTAAAATATGGTTCTACCAACACGTCTTTGGATAATCATCCCAGTGGTTTCTTGTTATCGGATTTTCCAGTTCTTGAGCCTATAGCCGACACTGTTTCGAGTATTCTTGACATCACTGCACCAGTTTCTCAGAATTCCAGTACTCCATCTGTTTCTCATTTTTCTGCTGATCCAAGTGTATCTGTTTCTCAGCTTTCTGGTTCTTTGTATCCTGTTACAGTTGCTTCTGAGCTTGCAATTAATTCCATTTCATCTGCTTTATCAGATTTTCCATTTCTTGAAAGTGCTGTTAACATTGGTCCAAATAATGTTGATGCCATTGCATCTGTTCCTCAGTTTTCTGTTGCTTCTGTGCTCAATTCTGAATCTTCTGCTTTTCAGGTTCTCACCTATTCTAGTTCTCCTGTTTCAGACTCGGCTTCTTTCATCTCATCAGATCTTACAGTTGTTGATCTTCGATCTCTCGGCTGTTTTTCAACCATTTCATCATCGATTTCACTTTTTGAAGATGATAATGAATGTTCAAACTTTAAGTTTGGGGGTGCTAAGAGTCCAAATAAATCTGAAAATAACAATAAAATTGAACTCGTGAGTAATTATGATAAAGAAAATTGTGCTTCTAATGGAAAATCTAAGATTTGCCCTAAATGTAAGAAACCTTTTTCTTCTAAACAGTCCTTATCTAATCATAAACGTAACTGTAAAGGTATTGTAGAAATGAAATATCCCAGAGTGTGTGAAGTTTGCATGAAGTCGTACTCCACTAGACAATCATTTTCCAATCATAAAAAATGTTGCAAAGCACCATCAGCTGAATGTATTCCAAAGGCATATATTTGTGACCGGTGTGAGAGAGATTGTAAAAGCCGCAGTAACCTTTTTCATCATAAAAAGATCTGTAGTATTAAAAATCCTACATCTAATAATTCTAAGCCATGTGTTATTCCTGATTGTAAGGAAATATTTTGTTCTGATAATGAATGTAATAAACATTTGGCTGAATATCATGATTATGAGATGGCTATGCAAGCAAGAACTTACATTTTCATCAATAGGAGAATTTCAATTCTGGTTAGAATCGCATAGTAAGCAGACATTCAGTTCTTATAAAAAGTCTGCTGGAAGTAGATGTAGGAATGATAAAACTTTTCATTATTACTGTTGTCAATTTAATGTAATGCATAAAAAGAAAGTTCCTGTTTCCAGTAGAAAAAATCTAAAAGATACTTTACCTTCCAACTTTAAGTGTCCGTCAAAAATTTTAGTTTGTGAAGAATCGCACCTTGTCACAGCCATATTTTATTCGAATCATAATCATGAATTGTCTTTTGAAAATAGCAGGTTCCACCAACTTAGTCAGAGTTGCCGTAACAAAATTAAAGCTTATGCACAGTTAGGTGTATCCACGGATCAAATTCAAGAATTTATCAGAGATGGAAGTGGACTGCGGGATAATAGGGAGGGCATATATGATAAAGATGTATTTGTAACACGAAGAGTGATAAACACTTACAAAAAGCGGTTAGTATGTTCCTTTCCTGGTGATGATTCACTTTCAGTTGCCACAATAGTTGAAAAACTCAGGCAAGAATCATATGATCCAGTACTTATTTATAAACCACAAGGAAAGCCAACATTGTACGGTCCAAAAGGGCTTGATGAACTTTCTTCTACAAATGAGTCTTTTGCATTAGGATTGCAGACTAAACAGCAGAAAGATATGATGATTAAAGGTTGCTCCAGGATTTTATGTATTGATTCTACTCACAAAACAAATCAATATGATTTTTATTTATTAAATTTAATCGTTCCTGATGAGTTTGGTAGTGGTTATCCTGTAGCGCATTTCATTACAAATCAGTTAGACCAGGATACAATGTATAATTTATTCCTTAGTATCAAATGTGTAATACCTGGAACTTTATGTCAATTGTCTTATGACAGATGATGATAAGACTACCCATCCTGCATTTGATAAAGTATTTGGTCCTGGTATTACACATTTGTTATGTAAATGGCATGTGCATCGTGCTTGGCAACGTAATTTGTGCCGAATGGTTTCTAATCAAAAACTTAAAGATGAAATCTATTTTAATATGGTAGTATTACTTGAAGGAAGGGCTAACCGGGGTTGAACACAGAATGATGATAACACTTACAAAAATGTATTGTAGTAGTGTGTAAACAATCTTCTTTCTTTCGGTGCAGATGTTTCAGTATTGTTCACAGTTGTTCAAATTTCACATTTCAATGTCATCATCAGATCAGCATACAACATATATAAACCACAAGGATAAGATCAAACCAAACATTACATTAATGGAAAACTACATTGAAAGTAGCTTGAAAAAGCTTCTACAAATGAATTTTCTAAAACTTTCTTGCATGAATCTTTGCATTATAAATTAAAACTTTGATGCAGACTTAAACAGAATTCAGTTAACAGATATGATAGATTAGGAATGATCTAAATTGTCATTGCATTTCATATGTATTGTTATATGTTCAAATTTATTTATTTGAATCAATTATTTTCTTTATTTCAATTAAATTTAATCGTTCTATTAAAATGTAGTAGTTTGGTTATTGGTTTTGCCCATGTGCACATCGATCTATTTTCACTTCAGAATTGCACAAATTGGCATTGCGCACCACATTACATGTGCACATCAGATTTTCACTTTAGAATTGCACAAAGGCATTACAATTGCTTTGCCCATGTGCAATGATTATTCACTTAAAAAAAATATTGCACAAACTATCAATTTATGTGACATGAATACATTGCATTGAATCTGCTTTCATTTAAAAAAATCAGAGAATTATTGTCAATGATGATATGTCCATGATAAGATTACTATTGATAATCCATTGTATTTTTCAGGTATTACACATTTGTTATGTAAATGTTATGTAAATGCATGCATTGTGCGTATAATTGCGTGAAAATTTGTAATTTGTTGCAATCGAATTGAATTAAGTTTCTTAATCAAACTTAAAATGGTTTAATATGTAGTATTACAAGAAGAAACCAATTCTGCTCGATTCATAGTGATGATGGATAATTTCCTTCAGAAGTTTCGAACTATTGCACCATCTTTTATACAATATTTTGAAGAACATTACTATAGCCGTGCTATTCTTTGGTCAATGGCCCATAGAAACTTCCCTCATGCGTTCACAGATACCAATATGTATTGTGAATCGTTTCATAATAAATTAAAAACTACATATTTTAGACGAAAATTTAACAGGCGTTTAGATAAATTAATTGAAGTACTTTTAAAAATTGAAGAGGATACATACATGGCTCACAGCTATAAAATTAAAACTAATTACAAGCAGAGTACTTGTCCACCAACATATAATAAGCGACATGATTCGGGAATAAAAATTTTAGATAGTGATGTAACAGGGGCTGGTTTTTTGTTGTGGATTGTAAAATCACAGACTTCTAATATTCAGTATACAGTTAAATGCTTATATGAGTTATGTCCTCAAACTGATCACTGTTACTCTAAATGTATTAGCTTATCTTGCCTTAATTTGTGTAGTCATTTATATAATTGTAATTGTCCAGATTTCAGTCCATTATGTAAACACATTCATAAAGTACATTCAGTCAGACAAAGAGATCCATCCTTCTTCGTAACAGATACTTATAAAAGCGAAAGCTGTTCATCAGCCATACAAACAGGTACAAAGTCTGTTATTTCGAATGCAGTAGCATGTAACTTAGAACATAAAATTGATAATTGTAAGACTTTAATATCTGAATTACAGGTTATGCTGCCTAATCCAACAGTTAAAAAAATATTGTTGCCTACTATAACAAAAAATTTGAAAGAAATTGTTTCTAATTGTAAAGGTGTAATAGAGTCGAACTATCTGAAAGAATTTCCTGACAAAATGCCATTTGTCAGTGTTCCCCCAAATTTAAAATTAGCCCGTCAGACTTTGTTTCGTACAACTGCTTCAAAAAGTGCAAAGCGTAAAATTTCAACTTACCTGAATATTCAGAATAAAAAAAAAAACCGTTAAAGAAGATTTATTAGGCATTAATTTAGCGTGCACAATTAATAAAAGTACTTTTACTCCCAAGCTTATTGATGAGGATATTTCGAAATGCATTTTATATGTTGGAGAAACACCGCTAACATTTTTGGATGTAAAATCTCTGGATCCATACATTCCATGTGAGGAAATTCAAACATTAAAATCTGCATCTTTAAATTTTCAGCCTGGTTGGCTCAGTGACAATGTTATTGATGCTTTCCTTTTTATTAGTCTTTGTGGTTCTTCTTCAGTAGCAGCCAAGTGTTATCATACACCTTTCTTTCAATCAGGTAGTAAAGATCAAACTGTATGGCAAAAAGAGGATTTAGCTTCTGTTGATTTCTTTTTTATTCCAGTTCTTGTAAAAAATAATCATTGGGTTTTACTGGTAGCAAGAATTAAAGATAAAATGTTTCAATTTTATGATCCGCTTGGTTTTAACTCGGTTCAAAATTCAGTATCTTCATTAATTCAGCTGTGGCAAAAAGTCATAAATAGTATTTTAAACATTAGTGATAGTTGGTGTGTTTCATTTCCAAGTCACACTGTTCAAAATGATGGTATGAGTTGTGGTGTATTTATATGCTATTTTGTGCATCAACTTAGCCGACATTTGGATATTGATCAGCCTTTTAATACATATGATTTCAGAAAGTTTATTTATACTAGTTTAGGTGGGAAGATAAATGAAGGAAAGTAAGTTCAGGAAATAATTTTGCATGTTTTAATGATAAGAAACAGAAGACCAAGATTTTTGAGTTTTTATTCCTACACCAAAGTACATTAGTCAGGTTATATGGTTTCATCTTACACAGTTTTAATCTGTTTCATTTTTTAATACCTTCATTATGTTGAAATAACAGTGGCTTTCTGAAGCTTGCCAAAATCTTCTGCAGGTCATGATTTAAAATGTTTAATGATTTTTTTTAGTACAATTTAATATTCATGTAATAAAGTTTGTTTTAAGAAAATTTATTTTTGCTTTATTTGTATAAAAATACTGTGTCTGTATAAAAAAAAACCATGAATCTGTTTAACCATAGTTCTATTGTTTGTAACCTTTGTTTATAAAATTTTAATTTTTTGTAATTTTTTGCCAAGCCATTGGAAATGATAAAAAAAATTTAAAGATTGAAAACTCAAGTAAATGGATGTGTCTGAGATAATGAGAGCTAAAGTTTTAACTAGTCTGGTTTTGAATGATATATTTAGTATATTTGTTTTTTAAAAATTTTAATTCTCTTGTAGTATTAAATTTATGTAAGTGATGTATTTTATCCTGTTTTTCATATTCAAAATAATTAATATGTCCTAAACTTATTTTTTATTAGTATTTTATATCATATAAGTAAACACTTTTTAAAAAATTTAAACAGCTTAATTTTTTTTTTCTGAAACTTTCATTGTAATCCATCTCATGAAGTTAGTTTATTATAGGCCTTTAACAAACATTTTTACTTTGGCTAGCTACAAACTTTACTTTTAAAACCTAAATTATAGTAATTATGTAGAACTGAATGTAAAAATGCAAGTTTTGGGGAACCATTATGGTAACGAGCTGACACAGTACCTCCTGGGTGGCATGGAAACCTGTGTATTTTTATGCTATGCTATTTCTAAATATTAAATTTTGTAAGATCTATCTACTTTTCTACATACACTGACTTAGATCCTACAATGAACCTGGCAAATTGTCACAGGTGTGAAATAAATACCAGCACAGTAGAGGGGTGCAAAATAACCCTTTATTCACCTTCTAAAACTGGGCCGAAATTCTCATAATATAGCCTTCAGACCGGCGTGATCCGAAACAGTTTTGCCTCCTCTTTGAAATTTCCTAATGAGAAAAGTCGTTAGTCCCCCCCCCCCATGGATACAGTAAAATTTACATGTTTGTCGGACGCTGTCCCATAGTAGATGAGTTGCTAGATTTGTGATTTTTTCAATATTTATTTTGCTTTCATTTAAATGAAGTTCTAAATAAATATGCAGTACTGGATGCATATCTAGTGCACTATTTATTTAGAACAAAATGTATGCAATGTTTATATTTCACTCACTATTTCTGATCAATCTCGTAAATAATTTGTGAATTTTTTAACTTTGTTTTCACTCTTCATTTATATTCGCGTATTTTCGTATTAGAAATAAGAAAACAAGAGAAAAATTTAACAAAACATAATAAATACAAACTAGCTTTGTAAGTCTGCAGGCTGGAATGTGATTTTTAATAACATATTTTCGTTAACAAAATAATGGTAATGACTAATTTAATGAAATAATAATAATAATATTTATTACCATTAGACGATTAGAATGAGATTCAATACAATTAGATTTTGAGATGAACTTACAGCAATAATAAAGCTTTACATAACAACTTTAAATCTGCTTTTTTTTCGATAATTTTGTTATTATAAATCACAGAATTCTAATCGGTGTGATACTAAACGGATGAGGCCAAAAGGCTTACTCGAGTGACCGCGAAATTACGAAACGTGTGCTAGGCTAGCGAAACACGCTCTGAATAAACTGATATAATCACACATTTAAATAGCACTTCACTTAATTTTAAATTTATGTCCTGGAGAGAATGTGAAGGGAAATTTGAGAAGTTGAGAACAGGAAAACTTAAAATAAATATGTTATGCAAATTAAGAAAAACCATACAATTTGATACATTCAAAATTTTATATATTGAAATTTAATAATTAAATTGCTGTGATGAATCTTGTTTCGATTTCATATTTAGGCCTTGATGTCTGTCAGTGTTGGGACTGTTTCTAATGTTAATAATTTTAAATAGTCTCCTAAAACTAGTTTAAATTTTTGTTTCAGGAGGGATTTTTTTTATAATCAATTTCTTTTTCTCTGTTAGCCATTAAAATCTCTGCTGACATTTTTTTTATTATTAATATTGAAATAAGAGCTTACATGATGTTTTTGTGTCTGTTTAAAGATATAAATGTAAATTAATTTACGTAGATTTCAATATAGTTTTGACCATATTTCATGAAATCCCAATGGCACTTGTTTTTATGATTGTCTATGTAGTACATTTGGATAGCTTTCAAAAAATAAGTGCTTTTAGGATATTTTCAGATTTCCCTTTTGTGAAAATTAGGACATCTTAGTTCTATGTCTGGTGTCTGGACCCTCCTTAGGATAGCAAGTTCACCTATGCTCAGTTTTGCTTTATTATAGTTTTTCTTGATTGTTATTTTATCATCTGTTGATTATTATATGAAATAAAAATATTTTTTTAATATAATGATATTTGTCAAACATCAGTTACACATGTGCATTTATTAGTAACAACTGTGTTTTATAATGAAATTTTGGTACTGTTTTGTTACCGGGACTGGATTCAGAAATGTACATACATTCATGTGTACATATATATATATATATGCATACATGAACACATACATTTCTGAATCTGATCCTGATAACAGAACAGTACCGAAATTTTTGAAGGAATTGATTTTAACAAATGATAGACAAAAAAAATATGTTAGTTTTTGCATGGGGTGAAAACAAAAAATGGAAATGTGTAATCACTACTTTCAATTAAAGTAGCACAAGGGAAACACTACATTTCAAGACATAAAAGAAATGGTAAGATTTATTTCATAATTATAATATGTTTTGAAAATTACATAATTTTTTTTTTTTTTTTTTTTTTTTGACATTCTGACAAGGAATTGCAGATATTCCATTTTAAGTGAAGACAGTTTTTTTTAAGATTGCTTGGATGTGATTTGCTGTAGATCTTTGAAAACCCTTTGGTAACAGCTGTTCTGACAAGAGAGATTGGATTGATGTGAAGGTGCTAAGATTCTTGGTGTAATGAAATGAATGGCTCAGGACATTATTAAGTAAGGAATAATTTTTGTTGTACTAAACAAGAGTCGCAATGTCCGAGTCTAGTTATGAAGAAAAAGTGAATCCTGTTGCAACTGTCGAATGTCGTATTGGTGATCAATATGATATTAATAGCCAGTCATCTAATTCGTGTAAAAGGTACAATGATGGCTTGCTGGTATGTGGCTGAAAAGCTGCAACTAATCACATTTCCCTGCTTTCCAGTTGCAAATTGCTGTTCTACAACAAGGTAGTGAAATAGCATCTAATGGAAAATATTTGTAGGAATTAATAAATCTCAAAATGTCTGGCATACTTTCTGTATAATCTAGCAAATCACAATACATGCTTTTGATCAATTTGCATTAAAATCTGTCTTGTTCATTCACAAATGCTACATAATTTTTCCTTTTATTTCTTTCCTTTCTCTTTGAATAATTTTCCTCCTAAATTAATTAATTTTCTTGTTTTTAGAGCAGAAAATGCCTTAACTAACTACTCATTTTCCTATGCTATTATTTTTTGAAAGAACTGTTAGTTTTCCATCATTTGTTGAAAATCGTGAATATTTTTTTATTGGCTTCACAAAACTGCATTCTTCTGAGGCTTTATATATTGGGATGCACTGATACGCACCGGAGGAAAAGTTTCCCAAATTATTTTCATATTTGTAATGTAGTATAGTTAGACAGCTGCTGATAATTTATTGAAATATTGGGGAAAACAGCCTTAATTCATCTGCAAAATCTGATACATTTTGGTGCTATGTTTTTGTTTTTTGTCTTTTATGACCAGGGTTTAGTTTCTAAAATGCCGAAGCCCTATGCAAGACCATCAGGAAAGAGGAACAAAAGTAAATAAATAAATAAAATGGCTATGAGAAACTTTAATAATTTAAAAACCTAAGTAGTTATAATAATAATATAAAATAGCCCGGATAAGCTGGACCCAACCAGAATTTTTGGTTATAAATTTCGATAGAAAAACTATAAATAGTTTTGTGGAAATAATCCACGCCTCTCACCTGCACATCCATGTCCATATTATTTGTCTATATCAAATTTGCGGCTCCGGGTGGTAAGAGTGGGATGACAACTATAATGAGTCTTACATCAGGAAGC